GTTTTGTACATGGACGGTTTAGTTCCTGAGGATTATCCACAACTTTAACAAGTCAGTGAGTTGAGTTAAAGAGGGATTGATAAGCTAAGTAAGTCGTCCTTGTCGGCCGGTCTGGGCGAGGGCGAAACTCCGCCCACCTCAGGCTGCAACGGTGGAATTATGATATTACTCTTATTTGAGTGGACCGACGAATCGCCAACCAGAAAGATTTCATCAAGGTTGACATAAAGCATTTTAGCTGTACCATGGATAGGGGGTCATTTCTTGACTAGGTAATTATAGTACCTGGATAGGTTCATCCTGATTTCCTCTGCCTCCGGGCGAAAAAAAGCAATACGCAGCCTTCATGATAGTATCGAGTGTTAAGAAAGTAACTACTGGGTAATTCCTATCCTCAAGATCATTTTTGCTTCTTAGAATTTCGACTTCGCGGAACGTACTCTGGCTTACCTTCAGTCAGAGACTGGCGAGCAAACATGTGCCACACGGATCGTTATTGGAGGATGTCAACATCCCAAATTTCTCGGAGGAAGTGAAACCACCCGATGGTTCTTCCAAGAGCATGCAATTTGATCCTTTTGGAGTTGAACACGTTTTCTGGACGTCTCATTCCCTGATGCTCCACCAAGGTTTCCTGCCCACGCAAACATTATTCCCACACGATCTCTCTGTCCATGCATGAGACCCTGGATCCCTCTCAAAGGTAATCATTTTGCCCACAGCTACTCAGCCTGTACTTGATACCTCTTATTGAGGTGGGAGCTATGTCTAAGTGTTATATCTGGTCTAAGATATCCCTGCTTGGTAAAGTAGCAATAACTATCATATTTGCAATTGCGTCAATACGTATTATTCGTTGGCCAGACTCTTGATTCATTTCAAGCCACTCTGTCCATCGATCAAAAACCCCAAAGGCTCTAACTGCGGATCTATGAAGACAGTGATCAAAACGGTAGTTACCACCAGTTGCCAACCGATATCGGAAATCCGGTGTGCCCCCGGATGCAGCCGAAGGTGTTAGATGTTCTTATAATAGACGTACCAAACAGTGGTGGTAACAAGCTGCATCAGCTTAACAGACCTCAGCAGATCCATGGATGTAAACAGTCTAGCTAACATATGTGAATGGTAGGATAGCATCTGGAGGTAACGATCGAGCTCTCTCATTCAAGCTCATGGCCGAGTGGATGTTGGTTTCCACCACTCGCGTACCACCACAAGTTACTCCGTTCGGAGTATGGGCATTATCGAAAAGGATGAAAGTGCCAAGTTAGCTGGGGTTTGTGGCTCGGGAAAGGTAAGATTGCAGCTTAGTCAGCCACAATTTGGTTCATCCCGCCTCAATTGCTCCATAGAAGTCACAAATATCCTTCAACATCTTAACCCGATCCTTTTAAAAACCGCTAAATTTCAATAATGTGGACAATTACTGACAAGGGAAAAATGAACGGTTACTTACAAAACAGGTATCCCTGCTAGTTCCTTGGATTTGTGTTGCTACGATGGACAGAATGAAGGCTTAGCGCCTCGCACCCTGCCATCAGCCGATTGATTTTTCACATCTGTGTGGTCATCCCCACGATGAAGCTGGCTTCAAAAGCCAACCATGATGCTATGAATTAGCCAAAATCTAACAGATGACGCTGAAAAACGATTTATTTGCCCGGTTTGATTTTCCCTTTTGAGCTTCTTAATTTCTATTTGCGTCCAATTACTATGACCAAGAGCTCTGAATCTCATTTTGCTTTCACCCTTCTCAACTATGAACAAATTTCTAGCTGTTATATTTAGTGATAGGGTATGGTTGTGGGCGATTAAATCTGGATTTAATTACAAGGCCAAGCAAGATATCTTCCGGAGTGGATGGTATTGGCTTCAAATACTCTTACGTGCCCGGTTTGAATTTTGCTGGCTTCTTCCTCATTTATCTTTCTTTTTCATTGACCGCAGTTCTACAAATTGGATGTGGTTTATTTCTTAAAGTGTTCGATCATTTTCATTGTAAGGTAGCGTCAACTATATACGAGTGATGGATCAAGAAGCACAGCATGGAGCTACCAAGAGGAAACGAGTATCCAAAGCCTGCGATCGATGTCGTAGCAAGAAATGTCGTTGCAATGGAGTCCGTCCGGCGTGCCTGGCATGTCAAGGATCAAACCACACCTGCTCATACGACCCCATCGCAAAGAAAAGAGGGCTTCCGGAAGGTTATTATGTTCGCGGATTGGAAAAGCTTTGGGCTTTCGTCCATATCCAATATTGAAGGACCAGAGGGCCGCAGTAATTGAGTTATTAGCGTCCAGAGAAATTGATTCCACGAGGAGGAAAAAGCTTTTATCCCTGTGGTGCAATGAGGGGGGCATCAGAAAGACTACACGAAACCTGGAAGTCAAGCGAGCTCTATGCGGACGTTGAAGAATTGTTATCCAACCCTGGATCAACTACTATGGGGCCATTGTGTATCGGACACGATGGGGAGTACATCGAGGCTGACGAGGTGCCATCCGATACCACTTCCAATTTTCATCCTGTCGATTTTCCAGATTATAGAATTGACCAATTTCCACCCAGTTCAGAAACTCGAAGTCCAAACGCTTCGTCACATTACCTGGAATCGATAGAAAAAGGATCAAGCTCCATGATGTTGGCCAGGCTACAGAAGGAGAACTCCGGATGAAACTTCCATTTCAAACGCCACATCTGCTCGGCATGTATTTTGCGTACACACACCAACTGGTTTCCGATTGTGGCTAAACATAATATACTCAGAACAAACTACCAATATTCAGCCCCATCTTTCCAAATAGAAAGAAGCACCATTGGATTGGGGGAATCATGCTGCGTTATGGGCTATCCTAAGTTATACAACTTCTCGGATTTCACCGAGTACAGAAGTAAACTCAACTGTGCTGGCTAGTTTCAAGGACGCCCTACAAGAAGCCAAAGAGTTCTGCTCAATAGCTAGGAGTTTGATACCAGACGAAAGAGGGAGTTTTGAAATTGAACACGTCCGGGCTTTGTCGCTTCTGGCTCTAGTCAACATTGGATTCGGAGAGTGGACAGTCGCATGGTTTCTTTGAGGACAGGCTACGAGTGTGGCTATAGACTGGATAGACGTATTCCTGATTCGTAAACTCCATGAAGGTGGAAACACTTCCCTTCGAGGGCCTCTACGTTCTTGCAGCATCTTTAACCGGCTGATCGAACTTGCGAAAATCTCGAACAGGCTTTGTGATTATCCACCTACCCCAGAAGCCGCAGTTACGACACACGAATCCTTGCTGAGGAATCTTAAGGAGTGGTAATCGAAGCTTTCCCCGCGGTGCTGGTTGTCCGATATTAGCAAGGAAATATCTACAGGCGAAAGCCTTCACCACCACCCCCATCAGACGTTTCTGCTTTTAACCCATATGGCCACTTTGATTTTTCTTTCTTCCCGTTTCTTACACCTTGCTCAAAACTTGTCTTATTCATATTGTCAGGTGAAGGATAGGACTCTTGTCTCATCAGGTTTACCTTGCAGAAAATTTTACGCAAACATGTGCGCATCCAATTTTCGAATTTCCCCTATAAACAATTATTGACACTGTGCGCTTGGATACCGTGTCCCTAAACGGTGATAAGACCTTGTTATCCCCATGGCTAGAGTCAGTCACCTGCCAAATATCCCAAACGTGTGGAAATTGGCCAGCTTTTACCTCCTTAATTGAGAACGTAAGGCAGGCCAAAGTCCCTGAACACTTTATTCTAGAGTCCTGGATTCGGATGCCTCGAGTAGAAATACAGTTTCACAGATCATACAACCGTCTCCTCCTATTGGAAACATGAATGATATTATCGACTCCCTGCGATCATGGTTGCGAGAAGACATCGACACCCAACAACCAGCAAGTGAGGAATATCTTTCTTTCTTTTCATACCTTTCGAAAACACCTATGGACCAGATTGATGACTCTAATTTTTGAAAATGGGAGTGACGCCTTCACTATTCCATCTCCACAAGGATTTGACGACTATCGGGTTGTTTGGAAATTTTTCCAACAATGGCTCCCAGTCTCTCGAGAGCAAAACCAAGCGGTCCACTATTACCAAATCTACATATAGCATCCATAATGGACTGGGTAGAGATTTATGATCATTCTCATACCAAGGACAGAGGATCTGCGCACGAAATATCATTCCCCAATCGCAAGGCATCCACTCCTGGGTCTACTCTCGCACCAGCTCCCAACGACGTAGACTCCATATTCCATGACATTCCCAGCGAAACTTCCACCTCCACGGTCTCTACCTCCTCAAGCTCAAGCCCATCCTCCGCCACTACAACCCGCAACCACAATCTCAGCCACGACAACACGAATGCCAGCGCCCTTCCAAAACATATCATCGACCTCTGCGACGACAAATCCTTCTATGAGGCACTTTTCAACTGCCGCGATGATGGTAGCAATGAAGATTGCAGAGGAATTGATCAGCCTAAGAATAGCGAAGAGAAGGGGAAACAAAATAAAAAAGGATCACATCCCTATTCTGCGACCGCCATCAATTGCGAATATTTGGCTGCTGAGAATACGTTTGGAGGAGAGATGAGGGAATGGATCACGCATGTGGGCGGAGGGCGGTATTTGGAACCGGTCTGTTTTTAATTGTGTGAGGGAGCTTGATCAAACTGGTTATTGGTGTGATGAAAACATGTTGATTGAAATGTCCAACATTAGTTGTATCGAGACCTCATAAATATAGTATTTGGAGGGTTTTATTTTTATTTTGTTTTTTTTATTTTGATAGTGGTGTGAGATTTTTATTTTTGTCCCAACGTTTTGAGATAACTTATACTTGCTTTGCCTGTTAGTATTTTTATTTCTTTGGGGGGGGGGGGGGGAAGGTGGTTATTTGCTTGTTTTCTTAGGAGTCTAGAATGTTAAACTTTCGCTCCACTGCCATTTTCAAAGACACGATAAATCTATGTAGAAAATATGGCAAGCTGACCAAAGATAACTAACGGGAAGTACAATATATTATAAGTGGCGAACATAGATTCGCTACGGCAGGTTAAACTATGTGAGATTAATAGAATCCTCCCCCTTCCCGGACGCAAGGTTAAAGTAAAATCAATATCCCGAGTCTTCACATAGGAAGAATAAAGGAATTGGCGGGAAGCCTCTAGAAGCCGAAGAAGCCGATGAAGACAACTAATAAGAGAAGGAATTTAGGAAGCAACTCATTGGAAAACTGAAAGACGAAAAAACGCCAAAGAGATGCCAAACCTCCATTTTGACCTTGTTAGAAATGTGATAGAAAAAGAACAATGGCAATCCTTTAATATAATCACAAGAAGATAGAAAATGGAAAAGTAAGACATGCATGAAATGTCTAACTAACCGGCACACGCGGGAATTTTAAAAGATAGAAAAAAAAAAGTAGAGATCAAGAGAAAGAAAGGAATGTTGACAGAAGGTAAAATAAATACAAGAAGTAAAAGTAAAAGTAAAAGCAAGGAGGGTAGACAAGACCCGCAAGGACCGGAAAAGACATCTCAAGGAGCGAAATGGTTTAGGTGGAAAGATCCTATTGCCGCCAGGACTTCCCACACACCACACAGGTGCAAAACAATGTCATTGGTTCATCCGCACTCCTCGTCTGCGCTTCCGTGTACGTAACTTTCTTCTGCCCACACTTGCCACACTGCAAGCTGGTGCTGATGCTTCGTTCTGCCTTAGCAACCATAGCCTTGTCCATATTCTCTTTTTGAATCCTGCGCTCCTCTTCACGCTGTGCGTCGGACTTAAGTTCGTCGTGCGTCATTCGCACGAAACGCTCTGCTGTGACTTCATTGGAGAGCACGCGAATGCGAAGGCCTGGATTGGATTTATTTTTCAAGTTCTGGAAGAGACTGCGCATCTTGGTGCGGTATTGTTCCTTCGTTTCTGGGCCAAAAGCGCGGTAGGCGGCGGCTTCAACTTCAGTGGCTTTTTGGAGGACAACACGCGGTGGTTCAGTTGAGTTCAAACAAAGACCATCGTATATCAATCCGGTGCAACTATCACGGGATTTATTTTGGGTGTGTGTGATGATAACTTGGTCAGTCTTCCAGCTCCGCTTGTCGGGAGGGACGTTGGATTTTGCCATCTTATCTGAAGCTGCAGCGCTTGTGGAGGCAGGTGACGAGGTGCCATTAGTTGTCTGTCTGGGCGAATTGCTGGATCTCTGGCTTGCAGACGGTGAACCACTAGCAGCCGCCTTTTGTTTGTTGACTTCACTTCGCCATTTCGAGACAATCTCACTCGACAGACGAGCAACGTCGGGTGACTTATGTTGTTTAAGCTTGTTGACAATTATACCGATTTTTGTAGATCGCAAGAGGTCCTCTGTCGGTTGCACACCTTTTTGTAGCTCTTTGAGCAGTGATATCAACGTTGCTGGTGTCTCGCCAGAGGTCGCAGCTTTTGTCAACGCCTTAGACTTAAATTCTATTTCCCTAGTATCCATGCTGCTCTAAGCTGGGGAAATGAACGTGTGGATGAAAGCAATGCGCTATTATCGATGATAGGAGTAAAAAAGGGGCTGGTTTGAAATTTAAGTGCCAAAGAAAAGCTGATGCCCTGTTATATAAAAGAAAGTCAGAATCATTCTATTATATCATGTAAGATCCATGACAATGTCAAATATTCCACGTCCAAGCTGGAGAGAAACAGGCACACATCTTAAAGGGGGGTAGGGAATGAAGAGTTCATTGGCAACAACAGCTTGAACACTTTCAGGATGAAGCTATTTCACTCCACGACCTGCGTAGCGTGGCGTCTGATGGAAGTGTATGTTCAAAAGCGCATATATATCCCCCACAACAGCCCACCGTTTCTTCCCGTGCTTTCGCTAGCCGGTTGATTGAGAGCAAATCCACCTTTTTCACAACCAAGGTTTTGACACTTATCTTTACCCACAACGGCAGCAGTTAAAACGAAGATATACCCGAGTCCACTTGGGTAAGGTCGCGGTGCAGCAGAGGAGGAACGGGCGGGGAAATTTGCGACCTACCGAGCCAACAATATCACACAAGAAATAGCGCAGAGGCGGCCTCGAACAGTGGCAGAGCAACAAAGAGAGCGTGGAGAAGCTGGAGAGATAGTTTAGTGGCGAGTTGATAGAGGTTGCGATGATGATGAGCATCGTTTGCTTCGGATGTTGCTCGAGCGATTAAGATGGTGCAAAGCTTGGCAATCACTGGATTGGCTGACATAAGAACTACGGGACGCGAAAGGGCGTCGTCGCATGCCGATTTGGGAAAGATTGGGTTGTTTTATGTAAGCAAAGAAAAGGAATAACTAAACTAACTTAATCCACCACTCAACCGTCCCTCATCCCGAATTTAACAAATTTTCAAATTAAGCAATAACCAAATTATATACAGTAATTAAATGGAATAGGCTCTTAGGCTTGTGAGCACGCTCTAATATTATGTCCTGGGGTATTACATTTGCTGCAGGTTGGGGGATCTTCACTTTGCTGGTCCCTGGATTTGAATCCTCAACCCCTTCCTCAGTGGGCTGATTAGGCTCCTGAGCCTGAGCAATCCTAGCCTGTTCTTCTTGAGCTGTTAGAATCGCTTCCTCAGCTATATACGTACATGGGGCTTCTCTCTCTTTTGCTTCTGCCTGGCATTGGCAGCTCTTAGCTCCATGACCTCGTTTGCTAGCATAGTGACATTGTGCATGACCAGCTGATATCTGTTAATCGATCAGGAGCCTGATTCATGAGACTTAAGGAAACATCTGTGTGGCTTTTAATCTTGCAGCTTTGCTATTTCCAATTGAGTCACATTGCAGAGAGTTTTAGAGGTCTAGAAGAATTGAGATCCATGAGATCCATGAGCTGATTCTGAGGGGAAAGGAGTATAAAAAGTAGTAGATAGTTTTCCAGTCGTTTCAGATATCTATAATACCTAAGTTCTTTTTTTAACAAAAAGAAAGCCCTGGGTTCCCAAAGAAGCAACTTCCATCTCGGCGATGAAGTTCTCCTCCTGCTAACGGGTGTCGTAGCCGCCCTTGCAGCCACCGCAATTACCAGTCCAACAAGCTATAGGACGAAGAGGGATGCCGCCCAAGTCGTGGAAACCATAAATTCCATGGGCCCCCAAGTCACTGAACTTGAAACCGTCGTCAAGGACTTCACGGGCCATATCTTTACAGCGTTGAAATTCAAACGGGAACCAGCAAAATTACCAAGAGCCTTAAAACCGCTATCGAGCAGACGTAGGGATCTCCAAACTTTTCAACGAGTCACTCCAAGTGGCCCTGGCCTTTCTGGAGTGACAGCCCAAAATCACCAATGTCCTCAATGCTTTCGTTAGCAGAAAGGACGTTTTCCAGAAAAGATTGTTTGGATTTCTCCCTGTGACATGGCTTGTCAAGCATGACCTGCACACGCAGCAGAAGCTTTCAGTGCAGCTGGGCGGGAGGTTGTGAAGAAGTTGACGCTCGAATTTGCGAAACTGGCACCAATTATCAATGATAAAATTGCCGCCGGTTTCGACTATTTTTATTAGAAGAAGCAAGATGGGAATTTTGTTGCGGTTACTGAACTTGAAATACCGCACTGGAGATTATTGGGCTTAAAAGCTTTACCAGGGGGGGACAAGTAACTAGCTGTTTGGTTTCCCCTGCTCGGCGAGATATGTATACTTCCCAACCCTGGATGTCACGAGAGTCACGCCGATATGCGTGCTACATGTTGTCAAGGGTCATCACTGATTCGGCTTGATCTTCCTAATTGTGAATCGAAAGTAAATGTTATTGAGGGATTGCGTGCCTGGCATTGGAAATACAAGAATGTAATTAATTACGTTACTCCTGTTCAAGACAAGGTTTCCTGCCAGTCAAACTTCCCCAAATTCGCCTCCAATCGTTCGAGCGTCCATATTTCCACACCTTTCCCGCATCATACACGATATTGCTTTCTTTTTAACTTTCCGTCATACTTGCTCCCTGAATTCTACTTTTCTTCCAATTTCTCAAGACTGATATATCGCTCGAACATGGAATTTCCGAGTATAGGAAGTCGTCAGATCATGCAGTTTACTCATCAACAGTTTCTTCCGAAATGAGCCCCACCTCTTAACTGAAATCCGTTCTCTGTTTCATGAGTTTCTATCTTTTTGCGCCGATATCAGCATTGGCAGTTATATCAAGATTCCTTCCCGTCAATTTAAAATTTGCGATGGTAAGAATATTTTGGGGGTCGCTATCCTCTCACTTGTCCTTGTCCCTTTTGTTTGTTGAAATGGTCACTGGCTAATTAATTCATGCCACGACCATTTTAACGACTTTGGTATTTCAAAATGTCCGTTCAAGTCCATTTGCCGAGTTCGATGATACTCTCGTTTAATCCGGCCTACCCACTTCGGAGAAAACATAATAAGAGTAAATCAGTTTTGTGACTATTCGTTTTCACGAATTAAGGGAGAGATGGCATATAAACCGACTCGTTTCCAGATCTGCTTTTCTCATTAACACGGTCGAGCCGTATGATATCAAATTACTCCTTGAAAATGACAACTTTTCTTGGCCTCAGTTTTCTGATCTTTGATTTACGATTTATTATCGACAATATGATGGCGACAGCAGAAAATTTTAACGTGCTTGAACGTACTAAGAGTGCGATTACTTACGCTCAACTCACACGGCCATGCTTTTAAGGAAGCAAGGGGTCACTAATGAGACGGTTAAATTAAAACTTCATGAAAAATCCACCAAATCTCTGAGCCATTGTCTCTCAGTCTTCGACCCAGATCCCAGCATGAATGGCATATTTTTCATGATAGTGGCATATTGCAAGAAGTCTTTAAGGCCACTTTGTCCATTCTTGATCTGTTTCCTGTGGCCGTATTTGTGCATATGGGCCCGTGGGATGTCTCGAAGAGCACCTCTGACTTTCTGAAACAGTTTCGATGCTAAATAATAAGATAGTTTAATTCTCTAAATGTTGACCTATCTAGCTGCTACACGGTACGCTGTACGATGATATGCGTTGTTGTAGGGGTTAACCCTAACAAACTGCCCGATGTTTTCAGACCGGTAGTTGTGCTTCACCGATTCTCAACCTACAGCCCTCTATACTCGGGAAAGGTAGTTACCTTTCATCTTTTAGTTTCTTTCTTCGGAATCCTCTCGTTCTCTTTTTAAGTGGGCAACTTAAATATTTGTTATTTCAACTTTATTTCTTTCATGATCATGATCGTAAGATATTCCCCTGATAACAAATCTTCTCGAACACTTATATGTTTACTATCTGAATCTTTCATGTACTGTGTAGATTCTGATTTTTATGCTTAACAGGAAATATACATGATATCAAGATAGATTTACCCTTTGTATCGGGCAGAGCAGCTTCTCGAGGTACGAAATGATCAGACAGCAAAAGATTTGTCAATTCAGTGAAACATCTGATAAATTTGTTTATACACTGTTGGCTTACAGAAGTGACAACAGGAGTGACAAGATACCTTTCATTTATCTTTGGCAAAAAGAATTCTTGTTTTGCTTTTGATTGTGCGCAGTCAAATAATCTAGGCAAAATCACTTGTCATGAAGAAATGAGGAAATGAATAGATTCAGCAGTAGTTATGGTTCCATCTACACTTTCTCATTTCATTCATTTCACTTCTCACAACAATCTCAGCTCAGAATCTGAAATAATTACTCTGACAACACTCTGCTTCTTTTCTTTCTTTCTACAACCCATATCTTCAACACATAACTCCAAATACAAACCAAAAGGCTTTTGAGTATTAGTATTTACCAACCAACCCCAAACATGCCAGAACCATCAGAGAATCCCCTTGGCTATCGGGTGGAAATTGCGAAACATCCGATCCCTCCAAACAAACTAATTTGGCTCGACACCCAGTCTATAACGCTTGAATATGTTATCGGAGTCGAATGTCTCAATAGCATCGCAGGTGTCGACCCTTTTACAGACATGGTGGTAGTAGTGACGACAGAGACCTCACTGGAGGAATTCGATGAACTGGCGCCACCAACTACTCATGAAACATCATTTCCCGTGTCAGGTGAAGAGGCGATGGAAGACGGACTTAGGAGAATCTCACTGTTGGCTCCGATTAAATATACAACACCGGGGATAGTCGAAACTTCGGTTGCCCTTTTTCGAAAAGTTATAGATGAATCGGGTCGTTTGAGGTTGGAACGAGTAAGCAATGTCGTATCTGGGCCAACAGTGAGAGCAATTAAGAATTGAGTCGCGAGATCGGACTACTATGTCCTGATGAAAGCCAAGGACCGTTCAGTTCAAGTGGTACACCCCACCCCTTTTGCCCCTTCCTTCATATGACGATGCTTTAGTAACTTCAGTCACCAGTCCTCGTTTCTTCCGCCGAATTGTCTTCTTTCCGAAACTCCACTCAATTCGGGATTTATCCGACTCCAACTTCTTCATACTTTATCACCAACCCTGTGTGTCAACTAACGCAGGCGTGCAGGTACGCGAGCAGCGGGATGCGTCAGTTGACATTCGTCCATTTATAGATTTTGTTCCATCGCTTATATCTAGTTTCTATTCTTCGTTCTTCTCATTCAAACGAACGAAGACATCTAAATAAAACCAGTTCGTGCATGCTTTATGCGAGAACTGATGGAAAGTTGCTTGATCTAAACCCTGAACCCAGCTCTTCTATCAAATTAAATACGGAGGGCAAACTATATGAAAATTCCTCGAAAGGAAATAAGAAGCAATAGTTTCTCCCTAAGAAGACGCATAGTTACTTGTTCTTTTGCCAGCTTTGAAGCGGTCAAAGCAATAGTATTCTATTTGACAATTTCAAGCGTCAAGTTTCTCGGTTATCTCGTTCTGCTGTTGCACAGCATGGATAGATCCTACTTCTCAGGTAAAGAATGCCCTTCTTTTTGAGCAGCAGGGAGTTGCAACCCGTTGGTACTAGAATAGCGAAAATATCTTACTCCTTTCGCATCGTTTTCCAACTCTCCTCCACCCAGTGGATTAAACATGTATTTCAAAATGCACGGAGTATATTTGCCCAGCCATTGATGGTCAAGCATCTGATTGGCCCGCGTCAAAATTTGTGCTTCAGAGTTTACTAGTGTCTTGGCACCAGGGCTGAGATTCCTTCCGGGGTCGATTGTTGACATCTTTACTCTCAACTTGTTATTGACGACCCCTTTTTTTTTTTTTTTTCTTTTTTTTTTCAAATAATGAGAATGGATACACCAATGCTGATTTATAACTGCAAAGACAACCTCCTGCTCCCTCCGCTTACCCCAAAAGATTATTAACGATTGAGTGGTAGCCTCCGGGAACTTTGCAGAGGGATGGTGCTGCGGCCCGGGAGCTTAGTTGGTGCGGTTTCCAGGGTTCCAGGGTTAGCTGCAAAACACTGTTTCAACCTCACTGTTCGGCTGTTGCACTGCTCGCAACGGTTGCTACCAAAGAGACGAGGCAGCGACCGCCTGCCCTATCTTGTTGAAATCTGCACGTATACTTCAGGGTTTTGAAGAGCTCTGCTTGCGCTCCCATGGAGAAAATTGCTTTGGTTTTATCTATATTTCTTGCATTGGTGTGGCTGGGCTCGTAACCCAACCCAGGACAACCTGAGTCCCCCTTGGACTCTCTCCTCTATCTTGCGCTGACAGATTTATTATGCGGAACCTTTTTCTACTCGTTCTTCTCATCCGATAGGACCTGGGATCGTAGAAGTCAATATACGGCTAACCCCCTTCCCTGACCAAGAGTGTCTAGGGTGCGGATTTCACAACGCAATCCCACTCTTTTGTTTAATTTCTCTTCCATAATCAATTTCGACCTCTCCGTTTGGCTCACCTTCCTCCTTTGTAGGGTTGTCGCGGATTTGAATCTGACACTCCCAGGCCTCTGCTCTTGATATTATGTCTATTTTTTGCACATGCTCCTAAGGTACGTACTGTGAGTTTGGGATCATTTGTAATCTATCTTGGAAGCGGGAAGCGGTCAGTGTTTGAATCCGAATACACCTCTTCCTCAATTTATTTTGTGCTTCTATGTTCACCACTCCCATTCCATCTGGTGCCACCCCGTGTCTTCCTTGTTGCTTATATCCATCTGGACATTTTTGGCGCCATCTGCACAGAACTTCATTCTGACAAGATTTCCCCTTCTTGCCTTTTGACATCAGTGGATATCATCTTGTGTCTCAATCTCTGTCATTTCTCTTCTGCTTCATGATAACTGTTGCAGTCATGCCAGGGGATATGCGTGGCCCTTTTTGATGAGAATATCTCAATTTCATATCCATTATAGAAGACCATCAGCGATCTACATAGTTAACTGGACTTCATTCTTCTTCTTCTTCTTCTTCTCCAAAAAAAGAAAAAAGAAATGAGAAATTTCTTTTTGTGAAGTTATGCACAACATTCCTGGTAGTTGTTTTTCATTTTCCTTCTCCTATAACACAGGCCTCCTCAAAACAGGCTGTTCAGTGTTCTCGGCATCACTCAACTCTATCCTTTCTAGGAAATAGGAATGATGAGCCACATTTCCACACATTTGCCTCTTCCTTATTACTCTCTTGTTCTCCTTCACAACATATGCCTCTCCTTCCTTAACTTCTTGCAACCCATCCCCGTATCTGCGAAGGCAGAAATTGCTCCCTCTGAGTCCTCAACTCTGCGTCTGCCAACGCGTGTATCACGATTAATCGCAAGATAGCATACTCCAATCAAGTAAAACGCGGTGCAGCTAATAGCATCGCTACCCACATCGAAAACGGGCCTGAGGTCAACAACGCGTTGCTCGTTGCAAGCGCTAGCGTGTCAAGCGTCAAGGTATAACTAGTCTCTAGGCTAGACACCCAAGCTATACATAATTAATCTCAAATAGGTACAAGCCTTGATGGCCATCAAGAGTTCCACCGCCAATGGCTCCAGTATCATCTCCAGCCCCAAAACCAAAAACGTCAGAGAGAAAAACACGTCCATCGTGAAACCCCGCAACACCGTTGTTGACAATCACAATGATCAGAATGACAGTGACAACGAAGATGAAGATGACACTGCTTCCATCGTCTCCACCAATTCCGACAACAGCATCATTTCAAATGCATCCTCCAACCCGGGCCTCGTCACTCAGCTCAAAATGGGACTGCTAGCTGAGCAAGTTCGTCGCACCCTGAACGAAGTCGTAGCTGCAGAGAAGAGCGTCGCAGCCATCGCTGAATACGACTTTTTCAATATCGCTGGGGATCTTGAGAAAACCACCACGCAGATCCTGGCGTCATACATGACCATGTGTAAGTTGTATGAGCAACAGCAGGATGACAGCGATACAGATGATGACAGTGGACCTGAAATGAGTGCGACTATTCGCTCCGTTATTGCGCAGTACCCGACTCTGAGAGGACGCTGTGGGATTTAAGGGGTTGGGACAAGGGAAAGATGGTATCGACGTCGGAGAATTCTTTTTGAGAACACTTTTGTGGGATTGCAGTTTGTCTTCACAACAAGAGGATGGATTTTCAAACATGTTGGCGCCCCTATTTCTTCTATTCTATTCTGAGCGGTTGTCATGTTCACGTAACTCGTTTGCAATTTGTCGATTTCTTTCCTTTATTTTCCAACATGTATAAAATATCTCTCAGTGGTAAATGAGCAGTCAAGGAATGAGGAAGCGTACTAGTCCAGGTCTAGCGTACTAGCCAAGGTCTTTCACCTTTGTTGGCGCTGCCTGGAACTTGGATGAAGTCAGAAGGGCCAAATAGCGCAACCACACGATTGTTTGTTTTTTCGTACTTTGCTTAATGTACTACGAAATTTCGCTTCCAGCATTTCTTTTGCTGCCTAGCTATTGTTTTGTCAGTAACAATATTTCTCCCAGAATTCCATTGTCTGGCAAAATGTTCAAGAGAAGGACAATGAGAGAATTTTGGAAGAAAATTTTGAAAACATTATTCCCTGGTTAGTTACTAATAACAAAGACTCCATCACACGATTTTGAAAGCCAGATATCTCACAATATATCCACGCGCAACAAGTTAGCATGACAGGGAAAACACCCTTATACCCATATCTCCTCTGCAAGTGTTGATTGGACTTGAAAATGGTCGGAGAACAAAGGAATAGCAAAAGCAATGAATTGTCCGTTTGTCCGTTTCTCCTTGAACATAGCCCCTAAAACCCTCTCTATGTGTATGGGCTTGCAAATGCCGCATATCTCTTACTATTGTCCGCAACGAACTTATGGAACTTCATCCTCTCGATTTTAAGCATTTTTAGTTCTCTATTAAAGTTCTACCCCCGAGTTCCCGGTCTGAGAGAAAATATTTACAAGTAAGCAGTCTTCTTGCTTAAAAGAGACATGTCCTTCGGAAAGACTTAAGCCGATGACTGATACGGCATAAGCTTCTGTCCCCATAAATGTGGTTGCGGCAATTCCAGAAGCATCCGTAGCCATGTGTCATGTGTCAATCACCAAGGGGTCTTTGGTGAACTTAATCATGACAAATATTGTTGACAAATAGAATTGTCATATTCAGAACTTCAATCTGGGTGCAGACTCTCAGAAATTCTTGGTTTGGGGGGCGGGGGGCTGGAGGCGGGGTTGATCTTTACGTCTGCCAGGGACTCCAGGAAATTTACAGTGGTTACGGATGATAGGGTGACGACGAGAGCAATTGACATAATAGGCATCTTTTTAAGATCTTTCATGTATTGAAGAGATGATCCCTTTACTCTCTGGGATGGTTGAATGTAAAATCCATGGACACCATATTTCAGATGGCAATATAAATATATGTACCGGTACATACTCCGACGGTAGAAGCCCGCATTTGTCTTCATTTGCTCAGGTGTATTCTCCGCCACCTAATAATTTCAGCCACGTCCGACTCTGCTTTCGTGGCGGTAGAGGTTCTGGTTCCTTAGCACGACTTTGTACTCCTCATCAGAACTCGTCATGGCCAATTTGACCATCCAATGTAGGGACAGAAAGGGGTAAACGATGCATTTATGGAAGCGGCAGTTAATGAAGTAGACGTGGCAGGCTAACCCATACATATTAGCAAAAGAAAGTAGAAACCTAAGCCAACCAATTGCTCAGGAATGGGTAACATTACAAAGCTGTTGACTCTGCATATGACTCTCCCGGAGATATGGATGTTTTCTGTTCCTGCGTTCTCGGGATTAAACATCGAAAGAGTCTAGCCAATGGGGAATGGGTTATCCAGAATCCTTGCATCCATAGAAGCCTTCATATAGAGCGGAGTCCGCAGGTGCATGCTCACATAGACATGTCTAGAGGCATGACAATGGATGCGAGAATTTCAGGTCGCCATCCACGAAATTCAGATCCTGCTATGCAAATAGAAGATTCACAGCCACGCGGAGCCCACCCCAACATGTATTATCAAGAATATAATATATGTGTGTGGAGATGCCAATGCATCATAGCATGAAACGTGGGACAAACAGATATATCGTTCTTTTGTGATACCGGTTAGGGAAACCGCCTGGAAGAGTCTGGAATTGAATAACGGCGAAAAAAAAGAAAGAAAGAAAGAAAGAAAAAACAACTGTTTCACATCGCGATAAGATATGAAACTCGACTGCGAACAAGGGACCGGAATACATGCTGCGTGGCGAAACTCGCTCCCAAAATGGATCCGGTATATCTTCGTGATATTGCTGTACTGGATGAAGGTCCAGAGTCAGATGGCAGTAGGCATGCATCCGCTTCAGTTCCAAAATCCAAATCAAACAGGTTCAGGGGTTGCGGTAAGTGGCTTGTTGCACGCCCGTGGTTCTGTATCTTATTGCATCCATGAATTTCAAGGATATAGTCTGTTCTACCCAAAGAAACTACCTGCGTCAGCGACTTAAGTTGTCTTTAAAAAAAGAGCAGGAAACTACATCCTCCTCAAATGAAGGAACACCTGCGTAAACGCTGCCAGATAACAAAACTCCATGATATGAAAATAATGCCACATCTTCAGCATCCTTTACAGATTATCCATGAGGACAGCAGATCAAAATATAGGGGTGATGTTCCTTTAAGCAAGCAAAAATCCTCTATGTCTTTCTAGAAAAAGAAGCTCATTCCAAAGGCCACATCACATGCCAAGTATTCTACGCTCTCATAAGTCTATAAGGAGAATAATGTGGAATTATTGTTTAGTTGCTACAACTTTGGGACCGCCCCTGATCTCGCTGATCGTCTGCAACTAGGAGATGGGTTAGACCTGCAGGGCGCTTGGGAGAAGAATCGCAAACTATCGATGTGTGAAATTTCGTAAAGGCATGGAAGAACAATCCTCATCATCGAGTGACGAAAAGAAGATATTGGTACTGGGAGTGCTATTTTCAAATTGGTTGGTTTTAACTAATTGTTAGTTAAATAGCTAGTTAGTCATGAGAACCTGGATGTGATCATAAAGTTCTCGTCTGGCCGACAACCAGGCATCAACGAACTGTCATCCAAAATGTTGTTTAACAATGTCCCCGGGGTTTCAATAATAACTACCACTTGGAACAACAAACGAGATTTTCCTCTCCCAGGCAATTGGAATTTGAGTGGAAATTCCTCGCCCAAATTTCTTTGGGTGGGCTCCTAGCTTTGGGCTCGGGGGGGGGGGGGGGGGGGGGGTGACTAGTTCACAAGGCGTTGTCCGAAGGATAGGGGGAATGGCAAGATGCACGTATTGTAGGCGAGAAGCACCCCCGGAAGGCATGCAATGCGACTTCGACGCAGAAGGGTAAGGAGATTTTGGGTTTAGCAGATATCAAGCTTTGAGTAAAACGGAACAGTTTCGATTGCTCCTGGACTTAATACGATGAATTACATCTATCAAATAGATCCGTTGATAGGGACAGGCGATGTTCACGTCAAATATATAGTTTTCGGGCCAGGTTTCTTTCATAACACCACATGTTATTTGAGCCCGGTTTTATATATATAAACCAGTTCATTACTGTTGGGACAATAATGAGATCCGCTCCTGGGATGACTTTGAATCATTTTACGCCGTATAATCTTGAAGATCCTGTTGTCGTATTATAGTTAGACAAGAACTTCAAGCTCCGGATCCGCTCTCGTTTTTTCAAACAAAGCGCCTCCATGCCACAGGGAAATGACTACATTTCTGAGGGACCTGTGATGAATTAAAGGTTGAATTTCGGAGAATTGAAGCACTTTTATGATCCATGATCCATGATCCATGTTTGTTATCTCTTGTTAACTGCTGGTTCGTAGTTGGATGGGCCCAGGATGGAGCCGGAAACTTGGGAATTCCACGTCCCGTAGTTACATAGCACAACTGGCTGGCTTGTTTGAGGTCTCAGCTTTTACCATATGTAGTTATTTACGGTGAAGCGGGGGTTGGGTTTCCAACAAAGTTATGTTTGAGATAGCTATTAATAATAATTCACCCAGGTCTGTTCTGAGACCCTTCTCATGACGTTTTTGCGGGGCCGCACCAGGACAGTTTGGCAGATGGGTGTTTCGAGAGGTGCATGGGTGTAGCATGGGTTTAAGCAGGGGTATGCTGTCACAGAGAAAAAGATCTCCGAACTAACCCGATCTCTCATGTTTTTTTTTATAGAAGCAGTCTGCAAGCATTGTTTTCTGTTTCAACATGGGATTTTTAGATTCAGGGCCAGGATATTCACGAAAAACAGGACCAACTCATATATAGTCTCAATTTCTGTAGAAGCTAAGCACGGAATATTTGCAATTGCTGATGATCTCTTCATACCTAGGTAACTATGACCTAGACCATCGACGTGTATATCATAGACCAATATTGTTTTGCCATGCAACAGAAAGGTGGAGATATTTCTTTCTCCAGCACGCCCCAACCAGCCGCTGTTTGATGCAAAGAAAGGGGGAATGCTCCGGGTACTATGTAGCTAGCTACTTAATAAACTAAGACAGCGGCTAACTAACCACCAACAATGACAGGTTCCACTATCATATTACTTACTTAAACTAAACAATAATCGCTGGGGTTTAAGTTAGCTTCGGCTTTTGCTTTATACCTCTCGTCCAGTCTCCGTGATATCATTTTATTCCCACTCGCCTGCATTTTATGATTTTCTTTAAATGACTTTACCCCACATTCTCTTTTGCGGTTGCTCATTATCGTGCTGATTGTAGGGGAGATATATCATGCCCTTCTTCCACTACTTCTGCTATAAAGAGACCTCTCTTACTCAACCAACTCTTTGCGATTCCTCCTGCAAGATCCAGCTTTGGCACCGCTTTGGCACCGCTGATCACCCCGCAATGGAATGCCAACCAGACGATTTCTACTCGCTACCACCGGCTCTGAGGCGCAAAGTAAGTTGCTTTGAGTTGCTTTTGCTCAATTTATTTTTCTATTTTATTTTATTATTTTTTTGCCCCTTGGTGTTTCTTTCGCCTTTTGTGGTCGGCCGTTTCAAATGCAAGATTGCTTCACTTCGCGTTGAAATAGGGATTCATACATCTACAGCATATCATCCCCTCCCTCACTGTTATTTCGTTGCTGCATGTTGCCGTCAGCTGGTCTTACGATGATGATCTAAGGTTGTCGTTGCGTGGAGCGACCCCGAGACAACAATGCAAATAGTTTCACAACATGGGGTTGTATTACCGCTTGTTCTTTTTTTAGCTACCAATCTTTTTGGGTTGAAAAGGAAATGTAACAAGTGATATATCAAGTGTTTTCGCCGGATTGTTCCTGTCTGTCTGGTCACTTTTCTCCGCCTTCAAAAGAGGCTTTTTCAAAAAAAGGCTTTCAAAAAAGGGTATCGGCTGGTAGACAGGGGCTCGGTGGCGGCGTCAGAGCTCCTCTTGCTGGCACTAACTGGAGTCGGTTTTCCGTTGTTGGGCGATGAGCTCCACCAATTATCTCCCCACCAAGCAATGGAGCAATCGAGAATCGGGTCTTGGTTCCTTAGGAGTTACAGGCCCCAAGGAAACCTTCTCTTAGTGAACCAAGCATCCAATGTCTCCCGGTTAGAGCGCTCGGTTTGACGTGGGTCCATCTGGGGCATCTTGCGCATCTTCCCCTCACGCTACCATTAGAGTATGGTAATTTGCTCCTGGCTAGTTATGCCAGTTGCCAACATCTTCGGTTTTCTGGAATCATTGAGGGGTGATTATTCATACATCTCTGGGCCACTGATGACTGGGTTTTCACAGTTGCCTGTTCATTGTTTCACCTTTGGTGGTTGTTAGTGACGTGGATTGATCCCCACGGCTCCACTTGATATGTCGTCTGTGCTGGCCCGGCTTTCAATATTTCCTGGCCTTCTATTGCAGCATTGAGACACTTTGTGAACGCCTATCTGCCCGCCCAGGTGATACTATTATCACTAAATTGTGGCACTTGAATTTGACTTGTTCCTGTGATTTTCGGAGAGGATTTCTTAACTTTTTTTCTTTTCTTTTTCTAGCTTATTTGGCGAATCACACCTTCTAAGGGCTTTTCTGACTATCCATTTGCTGAAATCCATGGATCAAATAGTTATTTTCCAATTTGGAACGATTTCGCCTGGAACGATTACGACTAGCACAGTTGGTCCACAATAATGATGATGGCCGAAGCTTCTGGCCCCGTTTTTCAGAAGAACTCCTCTGCTCCGCTCTTGAATCTCACCCTAGAACTAAGATCCCAGCTACACCGACTCGTAAGTTCCCCATTGCCAATTTCCTTCCCAATTATTATTTGAGTTTTCTCTCGCACGCTAATCCCTGATTTTCGTTATTAAATCTGAATCGTGCAGCTGGTGGCCTCGTTCAAGACCCAACCCCAATGCCAGACGGCCGAAACCGCCGGAAACCACTTTTGAAAATCGAAAGTCGACCCACTCGCCGGTTGCGAAAAGCAAAGTCAGTTCAAGTTGCCTATCAAATTGCTCAAGCCGATTCCGAATGGTTTCGCTCTCTGCCAACCAAGGTTCAACAGTGGCATTTCAGTAGAGAAGAACAGTACCGCCTCGGGGGTTGGCGTAGTAGTATTATTTTTGACGCTGCCGACAGAGCTCTTTACAAGCTTGGCCACCAGAGAAGAAACTCTTCTGAGTCTATCCTTTCCCCGCCAAGCGTTGCCAGCTTCCCTGACTCGTCTTCTATGGCGTCTTCTGTGCGACCAGTCGATTCCGCCATCGGCATGGACGACTCATTTTATAACAGTTTTCGATGGCTGGAAGAAGACGAGGACATCGATCTCAGCCTTGATGACTATCACACGAAACTTGCGGAAACCGACATGCGCATATCAATCCTAGCATCACGTTTCTCGCAACAGCGCCAACAACGTCGACAGTCTTCCTTTCGTCGAACGTTGTCCTTCACATCCACTGCCCGTGGTCGAAGCAGTATCTCCAGCAGGGTTCTTTCCACAAACCAATCCTCTGCTGTTCCTTCGTCTGTAGCAGATACAACCCCATCCACGACGCACAAACGGTCACATTCTCGCCCCAAATCCAGCTCGGCTATCCTTCGACATATCTCGCAAGCTTCCGTTTCCTCCATCGATGGCCCTGCACAATATTACCAAGATCCAGAAGCCCGTCTGAAACTACGAGTATATCTGGCATCCCCGCAAAAATTTGACGAAGCTATTGAATTCGGATTTCCATCGCTAGACCAAAAAGAGAACACATGCCGTCCCCGCGCATCAACGGAACCGCGAACAACACAGGAATCCGCGCGTACATTCCCTGAAGACGATAGTGTAACAGGGCACCCGGACGCCATGCATGAGGATGGAACCCTAACTGATTCCCCCATAGCTTGTCCGGCTCCCACATCCTCGAATCCCTACCAACCCCAACCGCCGGTTGCAAACCGTACCATCTCACCAAATTCCCTCTCATCAATCAGCAGCAGAAAATTCAACGTCAATAAGTCCTCTGTGCCAACCCTTCTACAAACGATCCCGCTGGGTTATGTACAAAATGCCCCCAGCAATCGCGAGATGACGCTGAAGATGACACTGACGAGACCCGATTTACGCACTGCGGAGTCGACAGGCACTCTATTCCCACGCCTTTCGGAACAGGACGATCACTTGCGATTGGCCGAGCTACCCGTGCCAGACGAGAAACACCCAGTTTGGGATCCTCCGACTGAGGATAGAAGTATGATGAGGAAGATGTGGCGAAAGATCCGGAAACGATGCAGTTGAGTACATTTAGGACGGCCTTATTAAATTACGTGGAACATTACGAAGAAGTTTCTTCCTCGTTGTTTGCAAACTTATCTTTTTCTTTCAACAATTTTCATCATCCAGATATCTCCTAGATGATTTTAAGCGACAATCGCTCAGCTAGAGGATATATGTTTATTTTATATCGTTTTAAACCAAGTTGACACTTAACTCGGCTTCATCGAAGCAAGAGCGGATAAAGAAGGGACGGTACGGGATCCAGATTATTTCTCTGGTTCCTTAATTTACTTTGCAAATGTTTTGTTGCTTATTTTTTCCCGGCCCTATATCCCTGTCTGCCTGGTTGCTTTCGTCGTTTATTTACCCCAGGTATTCCTAAAAGTTAATTCGTCCGCCTTTGGCATTGCTGGAGATTTGGTTTTTACGCCCCTTATCTTGATTTTCTTGAATCTTGGGATATTGTTTGATTTCCCCTTCTGATTCAAATCCAGCTGCATCATTTAGACGCAAGGTGTTGGCGAAAGATTGTTACAGTGTGTTGTGTCTCAATCTATTCAGGATTTCTTAACTCATTCGCTACCTCCAAAACTGCGGTACCGATCATATGTATTTTTGAGAATATATCTATTTGTTATCTATACCACCGCTATAACCATGATCTACGCATTCATATCATATTTTCATATATTTCCAACCCAACACCTCACCTTAGTTGACTTTTTGCGAGCCTTTAATAATACATCAATACATCATCACAGATCAGATTTTGCTAATGTCCAAACATTCTGACTTGGATATCCGTTCGCGGTACCCACTTCTCGCATAATCTATTATCGTCATGCATGTTTGGGATTCACATGATCTGCTCCATATCTGACAGAATGCATCGTGATGATAGGTTGATGCAGTTTCTCATGGAAGCTTGAGATAACTAGTTATCATTTTATGTTTTGTCCAGCCAATTGGAGGGTGCTTTTCACTCCTTTCCTGGTACTTTATATTTTATTTTCATCAGGGGAATGAAAGATGAAGATCCTGCAAATTTATTTTGCATGAGATCTGTTTAAAGTTTTGTTTTCATAAAGATAATGCGATTGCGGCAACATCCCTGCGGCTCAACAATTGAGCGTGTGCCCCCAGCCTTCGCTTTGTTCAGGTAGAAGACCCTCCGCAGCGTAGGTAATAACTAAAATGACAGGAAATGTGGGTCTGAAAGTTCAAATACTTCAACAAAGAGCTGCTGTGCATGCTCTGTTAGGTTATGTATATCCTGAGATCCACTTAATACTTGAAACAATAGCTTCGCTTGGGTCCAGCTCAGGCTACCTCCTACCCAGGTGGAGGATGTGGAGAAAGAAACCTACAAATATTTGGCCGACTCCATTGACATAGCCGTCTAGACATTGGGTGAAGTTACAAGTTAAATGTGGGTTTAAGGAAAAGTTGAACATGGTTTGAAATTTCGGCCGGAAAAACCTTCGGATGTTTGATGTAATGATTTTATTTCGCATCAAATTTCTCAAAACTTCTTTTTTTACTTTCTCTTGACTAACCCTAGTGTTGAGGGCGGTGAAGGTTGAATGTATCTAAGATGTAATAATAATAATAATAATAATATGTGTAGTGCATGTGCAGAGTATGTATACAGACTGTGTTTCTTGGTGACCAGAGTTGATCACAGTTTTGAAAAAGTGGGCCCGACTTATACACCAAGTTCGACCTTTTTGAAAACCACAATCAAAGTAACTCCTCCAGTCAAACTCACTCTTTAATTATAAGCCTGCTCTGTAATCCTCCTGAACTGTAAGAGTATAGTGTGGGGAAAGGACGGAAATAATTTCACAATCATTTGCGACTAGCTTCCAAGCGGTTTTGGCGAAATATAAGTGGTTGAAGGCAGAGAATTTCAATTCTATCAATTGCCTTTGAGTTCTTCCATTCCTCCCTATCACAATAGCACTCGCCTTTTATGAGGTGTCTTACTGGTTGAAGTTCCAAGAACCAAGAATTTGCCGATCTATATTTAGCTAATCATCGGGCTGTCAAAACTTCTAGGAATGGTTAATCTCGGGAGAGCTAGCTTTCTCTGCCCACGCTTAGCTCACGTGATCCCGGGCACCCGGGCGACTAAGGTGCATGTGACCTTCTGTAGCCAGCACCGAGTAGAACGACAAACGAACATCCAACATCTGCAGAGGACACGAGTCAATATATCTTTAGTATTTCTTCAGCACACAACAAGCTGGACTGCAGCTCCCTATAGCTCCTATTCATTCACACAACATCATTTGCTTGATGTACGTGGTGCAGTTTTGATTCCATCCCCCTTCCTGTTCTGGTTTTACTCCACGCCGACCTACGTCAGCTACATTTCTTCTATCCATTTTTATCCTGGAAGAGCTCTCAAAAATACATTTGCATATCGAGAATAGGTATTGAGATTCATCCTTTCGTGCTCCTATCGGACCTCTCGTCTTCCATCTCGTTATATTGTCACAGATGCCTTCACCGCATCAACGACCGTCATGATCCTCAGAAGGCTAGTGCTTGCTGGCAGCCTGCTGCTGGCCACAGCATTCACCAGTGCCAAAAAAGCAGACAGTCCCATAATTACGGCCACGAGGTTCGATCATGAGCCCATCAACCTCTTCTATTTCGGTGACTCGGACGTCGTGATGCTCCAGGACATCAAGAATGGCGATGTATATGTCTCCAGGGATGCCGGCGTGAAATGGGATATGGTGAATCTGGATGGATTAAAAGGACAAGCCTTGTCACTCTGGTCGCACCCAACAGATAGGACCAAGGCATACATACTAGGCAAGGCGGGAAAGCATTGGGTCACGAATGATCAGGCCAAGTCGTGGCATGAGTTTAGCGCCGATGTGGAATTCTTCCAATCCCTGTATCCACTAGTTTTCCACGGCAAGGATTCCGACCGGGTATTGCTTCAGGGACAGAAATGTTTTGGACGCGACTGCAAGGAAGTAACATATTACACGACGGATGGGTTTAAAACCGTGGACATCTTAATGGAGAATGCACGGGGATGTAACTGGGCCGTTTCAACACCCATCTTTGGAGATGGGCTCAACCTGTCAAAAGAGGTGAACGATAGGATATTTTGCATTGTACCAGGATTGCAATCTCCTTGGTCGGATTATAATCGGCTCCTCTACTCGGATCGGTTTTTCAAGCAAGATCCGGGGACTGAAGCTCCGCTTGATAGCGGCCGTGCTGTCAGTGGCGTCGTGCGTACCGCAAGCGTGAAGAAATACCTGCTTGCTGCGGCGAAGTCGGCTAGGACGAGTGAGCTGGCGCTTTATGTTACAGACGATGGGTCCCAGTGGCATCGAGCAGAGTTTGATGGACATAGGGTAGAAGAGGATGCATACACTGTGCTAGAGTCTACCAATTACAGTATTCAGATAGATGTGGTGGCAGAAACACCCTCGGCACCTATGGGCAGGCTGTTCACGTCTAATTCAAATGGCACCTACTTCACACGCAACATTGACCACACAAACCGCAACAGCCTGGGATTCGTCGACTTTGAGAAAATCGCGAATATCCAAGGTATCATACTCGTGAATACTGTCAAAAATTGGGAAGATGTTGAAATGTCAGCTCTAGTGGAAAAGAAGATTATCAGCCAGATTTCATTTGACGATGGGAGGACTTTCCAGCCACTAAAGGCCGGTAAACATGACCTTCACCTTCATTCGGTCACCCATTTGTCCAACAGCGGTCGTGTGTTTTCAAGTCCGGCGCCCGGCTTGGTTATGGGGGTTGGTAACACAGGTGGTCATCTTAAGGATTACTACGATGGCGATTTGTACGTTTCTGACGACGCGGGAATTACCTGGAGGAAAGCTCTAGATGAAGCTCATAAATACGAATTTGGAGACCAGGGCTCTGTGATTGTTGCCATATTTGATGAGGGAAGAACAGGCAAAATTTCTTATTCTCTTAACCACGGCAAGGATTGGAAAGAGGCCTCACTGCCCGATGGTATTAAAATTCGTGCAAGAATACTTACGACGATGCCTGACTCCACAGGTTTGAAGTTTCTGCTAGTTGGGTCCGCCAAAAAAGACTCTGAAGTGGAACATTATGTCATCTCCATTAGCTTTACGGATATGGAAGAACGAACTTGCGGGAAGGATGACTTTGAAACATGGCCAGCCAGATTGAACGAGAAAAACGAGCCGGACTGCCTGATGGGCCATAAGCAATTTTATCAACGGAGGAAGGCGGATGTTGATTGTTTCATTAAGAAGAAATTCCAGGAACCAGTTCCTCAATTTGAGCCTTGCAAATGTACCGTGGAGGATTTTGAGTGCGACTTCAACTTTATCCGCAGCACTGATGGCAAGAGTTGCGTTCCCGCCAGAAACCTCCCGGTTCCTGAGGGTGCCTGCAAAAAGCCAGATGATAAGTACATGGGCAGCTCTGGGTTTAGGCTGATCCCCGGTAATGCGTGTATAAGGGAAGGAGGAGTGGAACTTGATAAGCAAATAGAACGTGTCTGCACAGATACATTGACGGTTCCTGTCAGTGGTGAGATTGCTGTTCAGAAGACTTTTTTTACGGCGGACAACTACAAAGGTTACTTTTATCTTGAGCGTAAGGACAGCAGCAAAGGTGATGATGAAACAGTCATCATGATCACTAGTGAGCTACAAATATATATTACCAGGGACCACGGCAAGATATGGAAGGAAATTTTTCCTGGTGAAAGCATAACCCGAATAGTCCCACATCAATACTTTGATGACGTTGCCTATTTCTTGACAAACAGTGGGGATGGCTGGTATACTCTTGACCGTGGAGAGAATTTTAGAACGTTCAAGGTTCCCATACCTCCCAATCAAGACAAACTTCCGGTCTTATCATTCCATCCCGAACGGAGAGATTGGCTTATATGGACCGGCGCCGTGGAATGCAAGACACGGGGACCCCAATGCCACTCTGTTGCCTACTACTCTACGAACCACGGGAGCGAATGGCACTTCCTCATGCAATATGTTCGCAGATGCGAGTTCATAAAGAGAGAAGCCCGAGGCTCGAGCAATAATCTTGTGTTTTGCGAACAGTTTGAAAATGAAAATCCTTTGAACCATCATCTGCAGCTCCTCTCAACTGATGACTGGTTTTCTGAGAAAAAGGTCCACTATAACAATATTTTGGACTTCGCTACCATGCAAGAGTTTATTATCGTGGCTGTGCGAGGAGAGAAACCCCAAGATTCCCTTAGTGTGGGCGTTAGTGTTGATGGTGAGACTTTTGCATACGCTGATCTCCCAGCTAACGTTCAGATTCCGGTCCAACGGGCGTATACCGTACTAGAGAGCAGGACGCATGCCGCCTTCCTCCATGTTACCGTCAACAATATAGAGGACCACGAGTACGGAAGCATCTTGAAGAGTAACAGCAACGGAACATCCTACGTCCTTAGTTTGAGTGCGGTGAATAGGAATACTTATGGATACGCAGATTTTGAAAAAATGCAAGGCATGGAGGGTGTTGCTATGGCCAACGTTGTCGGCAATGTGGCAGATGTTGAAAAGGGAGCTGCGAAAAAATATCGAACCATGATTACGCATAATGATGGAGCGGAATGGACACTACTGTCTCCCCCAAGCAAAGATTCTGAAGGCCGCGACTATAGTTGCTCAACAAAAGGAGGGAAACCCACTGATAAATGCGCATTACACCTCCACAGCTACACCGAACGCGTAGATCCCCGGGACACATACTCATCACCTGCTGCTATAGGCGTCATGCTAGGAACTGGAAATGTAGGTGAATATTTAACTCTTAAAAGCGAGGCTGACACCTTCATCACCCGAGACGGCGGTATAACTTGGGAGGAGGTGAAGAAAGACAAATACCAATGGGAATTTGGTGACAGTGGATCCATTATCGTCATCGTGCCTGAGTCTCGCCCAACCAAAACTCTCTTTTATTCTCTGGACGAAGGCAAGAGTTGGAAGGAATTCCAATTTTCGGAGGTCGAGATGCTGATCCGTGATATCTCTACCGTACCCTCAGATACCTCCCGAAATTTCCTGCTCTGGGGTAATGAAGTAGGCAATGGAAAGAAGCCCGGTATCGCCACTGTCAACGTAGATTTTTCGAACTTAAAAGAGAGACACAAGCAGTGTGTTTTGAACGAAGAGAAGCCAGAGGCTGATGATTATTATCTCTGGGAACCTATACATCCTTTCCAACCTAACGGATGCTTGTTTGGCCACAGAGCTAAATACCACCGGAAGCGACCTGATAGGGATTGTTTTATTGGTCGAGAACTTCAGCATTTGGATTCGATTGGGGATATTTGCGAGTGTACACGGTCAGATTACGAATGGTAAGTAGTCTCGTATATTTCGTCGATGAGTGGACACTAATTTCTTCCTCCTAGTGATTATAACTATGAGCCGCAAATCGACGGCACTTGTGCCCCTGTCCCTGGGCTTCAACCCCTTGACCCAAAACTTATCTGCATGGAGGATCCAAAAGCCGTCGAATGGTACGAACCAACCGGTTATCGACGCATACCTCTAACAAAGTGCGAGGGCGGCAAACAGCTTCACCACATCATTCCCCATGCTTGTCCAAACAAGGAAGAAGAATTCCTGAAGAAACATCCAGGTCTACGCGGCGTCGGCCTTTTCTTCGTCGTTATGGGTCCCATCGGCCTCGCAGCCGCCATCGGGTATTATGTCTATACTCGCTGGGACGGCAAATTCGGTCGCATTCGCCTGGGTGACACGGGCTCTGGAGGTTTCTTTGCCAGTGATTCGCTCTTCATATCGATACCCGTGGCGATTGTGGCCGGTGTGGTCGCGGTTGCCACTGCGCTGCCTCTTCTGGCGTCCAGTCTCTGGCGCAGCGTGAAAGGTTATGCACGTGTACCTGGCGGGAGCTCATCGCAACGGGTGTATTCATCGAGGGCTGCATTTGCGGCGCAGAGGGCAGACTATGTGGGTGTTGTGGATGATGAGGATGAATTGCTTGGAGCGGAAGATTTTGATGAGGAGGAAAACGATGATAGAGGTCAAGTATGAGTTGTTTTGGAATTTAACGGGGGAGTAAGATATATTTTTTTCACTTCTTTTTTCACATTGAAACAAATGAAAATGATAAGATTATACTCGACGAAAGTCGAGCCTTGTTGTAGACCTTTGTTGTAGGGCCTAGTCATTTCTTTTCATGTATATTTTTGGTGTTTTCTTTCCAGGCATGTTCTATCATATAATCAGGAAGTAAAGCTTATTTTTTTATCTTCATGTTGGCGTGGCCATTTACCTATCTTCCATCTTATCTTCGTATGTACCGTTCAGCGGTTCGTTTCCTTTCGTTGGACTACAAATTATCACTTTTATAAGTGACGTCATTATTCCTTTTTCCCGCTTCTCTTCTCTAGGTCTGGCATCTAGGATTTGCGGCTGAGTATCTTTGTTTAAAGAACTGAGTTCCAGCGACTTGATCGATCCCACATTTAAATAAACGTCGTTAAGACCTTGAGCGCGTTGTCTATTCCCCAATCCCAATCTTTCTTTCTCCTTTCTTTCCTAAGGCGTTTGGCAAACATATACATAGCTAGCATCCAGCAATAATGCGCCTAATGAGACTTACATCGTCCCATGCAACTCTGCCACTTCTCTATCTCATAATAAGTGTTGCCGTTCGACAGTCGGCGAGGATTCGTTTGTTCGAGATGGTTCCTGCTTCTAGATTAAAGCCGTAGACGTACACGAGCATTCCGACGGAGTTGTTGAAGTGCACTTTGGTTATTAGTTTCAAATCAACATCTGTTCATAAGCAGAAGTGACACTTCCAATAAAGAGATCTGTTTCCTGCATGCTCGTCTTGTTATCTGGGCTCCATGCCAATCCATTCCCTTAAAGAAGCCCTTTTCCCGTCAAATGCAGACTCCCGTCCGGGGTCATAACCATAGTCGCCCCTTCGGCTCCCCATAGCTAGAGCGTAGCTTAATTGTCCCGTAAGCCATGGCCTTCTTGTCAATCTCCGCTAGCCACAGTCGTCCTTTAGCATCCACCAACTCCATCGTTGAAATGGATATTATCCTTCTGGTCTGTTGGAACAATTTCCTTGAGAATCTCAAAATTTCTCGTTTCTTCATCAATAAGACATATATGTATGCCCTGATAGTAAGCTGTGATGTAGCTGTCAGGTTTTCCCTGACGGAAGGACGCAACTGAGACATTGTCCTGGAGCTTCAGCTCTCGAGCTTTGCCTTGTGCAGCTCCAGTATCCGGCTAAGCGTGCAAGATGTGCAGTTCGGGGGGGTTGGCAAAACAGTCTAACTAATACAGGGTTGAGTCTCCAGCACGGTAGATGGGGGCTTCACCAAGGACCACTGGCGGATCGCATTTGTAGAAAGGAGACCGCCTGCGTCAATGGGAGATTCGATTGGGCCAGGGGCTACCGGTAATGGCTCTAGGAGAATAGACAGACGGTGTAGATATCTACCTAGGTTAATAATGTATTTAATACTCAAAATTTCATTATTTTGACCATGTTCTATCCGTATGTTCTCCTCGGGTAAGATCCCACTTGCACATGTTATATTAGCATCTGTCCACCAGATATCAATTTCCCCACCCCTTTCCCCTGTTTTCTTAAAAGTGTTTTCATTGTGCAGGCCCATACTTTGGGAATCTGTACCTAGAATTGTAGAAATTGATATAGGAAACAAGCAGTCCTTATTCATCCACTCGGAAATACGAATATCAACGCTGTTACGTACGTATCAACATTGAAATGTCTCATAAATTCCTCCTGACGCGAAAATATTCACCCCTTTCGGTCATCGGGGAAGCTCATCAGGCCCAAAGGAATTTGGAAGAAGCTATAAACATGGCGTCAATATATCAACGGAGACCGCAAGGACACCAGACGTATCCATTGTCTTCGAATGCAAAAAGGCGCACAAAATACGAGTACATACCTCGCCCATCGTCTTCATGATATACTTCCCATCCTTACCATACATGTAAACGGGGAAAGACTGGGTGCAGAACTCTCTCATACTTTTGAAGTTAAGGAACCACAGTAGCTCACGTTAGCGATTGTAGTATGTAACTATGGTTGGATAGTACGTCCCAAACTAGCAAAGACACAGGGTTCACCAGACAGATAATACGTACAACTGCCTACACATCCCGCACGGCGAGGCGCCGGGAGAGATGTCTGTCGCGACTGCAATAGCTTTGAAGCTCTTGTGGCCTGCAACCTGGATGCAAATGGTGTTGTTAATGTCCAGTTCAACAAAGTGTAGGGATGCAGGATTTTGGCTTGGACAGTCAGGTTCTGCGAGTAACATTTGGGAGAGATGTGTTTGACTGGGTGGATTTGCTCTGGTATGTAGGAAGAGGATTAAGTTGCATGAGACACAAAACCACAATGCCTGGATATCTGAATTAAAATGTAGATATCCAAACTTGACGACACCACGACCCCACAGAAGACACCGTGTCGGGTTCGACCTGGGGTGCTGCAGATGGAAAAGGGACAATAAACCGCGAATACCTTACCACTGCAGTCCCAAAAGCACATCTTTCAGCACATACGCCGACGGGGTAGCTGACATTCTCTACATTGGCGCCAACAACGAACTCTCCCTCTTCAGTGAGCAGACAGGCTCCCACGCGGAATTTTGAGTACGGGCCTGTTGTATTGAGGGCACTCGTTAGTGCGCTGGCGGGGATTCAATAAGGGGGAGATGAGATGGACTTGGTTGTTGCAGCGATTGGAGCTGGATTGGAGCTGGATTTCAATATACGAACAATACGCCGTTTCCTTCGCCGCGATAGCTTTTGATGAAAGCGTTTGGAGTTCAGTGGTGGACACTGCGGAGGGCATGTTGATATATATGAATATGTGTATGGGAATTCTTATTGCTGGAACGGATAGGGCGATTGTAGATTGTATCTACGGGCGCTTGTGGCTTTTGATTTTAAACTTCATGGTTGGAGCTGAAGGTTGTTGCATCAGCTTAACTAACTAGTCAATAGTTAAACAGTTCACAAGAACATTTAAGAATTCAGTGGTTCACCCACAAAACCCAACCCCCCACCGCCAGAATTATATGAAAAGTAATTCTTGAATATATCAATGCTGCGCATGTTGTACGTAGAGGACGGTCATAATCGGATGAACCAGATGCATGATATGATGTCAAATAGATCAAAAATCTATCCCATAGCTATCTCTATTCAATGTTTATTGATCATCAATAATTTTTCTTAACTTTTTTCTTCTTTTTTTTCTTTTCTTTTTTTTTTTTTTTTTTTCTGTCTCCTAACCACAGCTCAACCATTTTTGCCTTCCGCAATAAATAACCCATGCTCTTTTTGCTAACCTGACAAAAATAGAAGGTAACAAATATGTGCACTGTAATACGTAGCTCTCCGACAACCTGACTGATTCTATAATGATGCCGGGCGAATTAAGGAAAAGGGAAACAAGCTGCTAGAAATTAAGATATAATAGCCAGTGAGGACAGAAAACAACAGAGAAAGTCAGAAATCAAGGTAGATCAATTCCTTAGTTAGATAAGCCTGCCAGAACTTAATAATACCCGTTCCGTCTAGATTGATATATAATCGAGGACAAGATACACAAAAAGGAAAATAAAGAAAGCAATGTTCGTAGGATTGATAGCAAGAAGTTTGTATGGCTATGCGTGCATGTGAATAATGCCGTAAGGAAAAGAGAAAATAAGAAGATATTACCACTGTGAGGATGGCGAGGTATTGGATGGGGAGAGCAGAAGACGAAAGTGTAGAGAAGAAGATGACATCATCGTCATAATCAGAATGGTCATAGATAGTGGCGCAAAGCTTCGTAAATCGTGAATATGAATGCAGAGCTGGGTGCAGAACGGGCACAAGTAATGCCGCAGCCACGGTATAGCCCAGCCAAGCCCTGTTGCTTCCAGACAGCCTTTCCCACAGCCCAAAAGGTGGGCCGTCTGGAGTTGACGGCTGTATGACCGACAACCTCCGTCTGCATGCGCGACTTAATGGTGTCCGCGGGGTAGAAGATGAAATTATAGCTTATCCCCGCTGCGGCGCCGGCAAGCAAACGCTGGTGAACTGCTAGCGGTTCCGAAGCTGACGGTGATACTATGGGATCTGGGGTGGCGCTGCTCAAGTCTGCTGCCGTTGTTGCTGTTGCTACTTTGGAAGCGTTGTACTGTTTAAAGAAAGCCAAAACACCCTCGTAGCTCCCGAACCAAGCAGCTGACCCCCCCGTTTCTCGAATAAGTGTACCCATCTGCCCGCGCCAGAATCCTGGCAAACCATCATGACGGAAGACGGCTGTAATTAGAGACAAAGGGCCTGGAGATTTGTGATGGATGCTACCGGGAGGCACTTGCATCTTACACTTAATGAGTTCGACGGGCGTTAGGAGGAGAGAGGTGAATGCTCCTGCTGTGGCACCGCAGACGAGCAATGCGGACTGGGGCAGTTCGGTTACAGAGGCGTACAGGGTCGACCTGAGAAGCTCCTGGGTGACACGATAGCTGAAGAACAGGCTGCTTGTTTCAAGCGCTGCTCCGACGAGCGGGGCACTGATGCCCCGATAGAGTCCATTGATCCCACCGGCCTGAAAGGACTGGCGAAAGCAATCGATGGGGCCCTTGTATCGTAGTGGCAGGCCATCTGGTTGGGATTGAAGGCGTACTTTGACAGTGTCAAAGGGATATTCGATAAACTTTCCTGCAATTCCAGCAGTCTGATACGCAGCACGATTGAAGTTAGAAAGAAAACTTGTTCTTCCACTTCTTGGGGAAAAAAAAAAAAATAAATAAATAAATAAATAAATTAAAAAAATAAAAAATAAAATGAAAATAAAAATCCTAACTTTGGAAACTACAACTAGAAAGAGGGGAATCACATACGGATCCATATACCACATCCTTCAAAGCCTCTACGCCGTGACTTGTAGTGGAAGGGAAATCGGCCAGCTCCACCGCCATTTCAGTTTCTATGGCGCCCGGAATCTGCGGTTTCACAGCATCCATTGCTTGGGAGTGTGAAACAGACTGGGACGGGGGAAGGGGAGGGAAGAGAAAAATAAAGACGGTTGGGGGGGAGTTATCGGAAGAGCATTGTATATCTGTGAGGAATATATACTCGGCTAGGTGAAGGGGGATGGAGTGCAGGAGATATAGTAACGGTGGTGGAAGTTGCAGTAGTAATTAGATGTCGAGGTAGTCGGCGTTTGACCGTCATCATACGGAAGAGAAAGACATGGATACGGAGCAGTTTATGAGATTAAATACGACATACAGTGTGGGCTGAGCACGGGATGAACAGGCAAGCCACAGGCCGCGAGAGAATGTACGGAAGACGCAATTTTGGAGCGGGCGGGGAGATCAAGGAGGGGATTCTGCAAAGTTCAGGTTGTGGTTGGCTGGATGCTTGGATGTTTCTTACTGGGTGATGCACACTGAGGGCTGGTGGTTTAAAGATTCGTTGGTGGTTGGTCGGTGGTTCAGTCGTTGGATGCTAAAGAATCGAACAAAAATGAAAATATACAGGCGGCTTCGGGTCAAATAAATCGCCGAGATCCGGTTATCTGATGGCACCAAGATAATATTTATGCCTTTTCTGGTTAGCGCAACCCCAACTGCTGCTCCACATAGATGGCTTAGTCAGCCAGTCCAGGCCCGATTGGGGAAGATGCGGCACTCGAGGCCGTTTTCTTTTTCTTCACGCAAATCGACGCCGGGTAAGAGAGTGACGGAGAGACGGAGAGACAGAGGAGACACAGTCAGAGTCCAGGACGCTGCGGGGATCTGGCTTTTGGTAATATTACCGACCGACTATCCCATTTTCTGTCAGTTTGCCGCAGACACCCTACCCTCTGTTGCCATGTCCGCCGCTCTCGAAACCGCGGTGAAGGCTTCAGAGCCCGCATCACAGGCACCCAAGGGCATGCGGAAAAATGGTATGAAAAACCTTCCACAATTATTGTCTGTCATTATTCAGTGCTGCTTTCTCGAAACATCCGTATTAACATGTCTCTCAACCCTGCCACTATAGGCAAAAACTGGCACGGTACCAAAACACCCTTCCGCCCCACAGCTGGTCAGACCTCATATTCGAAACGCCTCGAGGAACGAAAGGCCCGTGACGTTATGAAAGAAAAGGAAAAAGAAATGAAAGATGAGAAAGAGGCTGAGCGTCAGGTATGGGCACTGGCTTTTGAGTTCTCTTTCACCCATTGGGATTGCCGCACTTTAGTCGAAGCTAACCTTTATTTCTTTCGCTACTCACAGAGACGGATACAGGCTATCAGAGATCGCCGGGCCGCCAAGGAGGAGAAGTTACGGTATGAAAAGATGGCGGAGAAGATGCATAGGAAACGAGTAGAGCGGCTCAAGCGGAGAGAGAAAAGGAATAAACTTCTCAATTCTTGAGTCTGTGGGGCGGAATTGTTGTATTCCTCTTATCATATATACCATGAAGTTGGCGTTTTTGGGGGCAACATTTTAATTTGTGTCGCACTATTTTCACCTGGGTTATTTAGCTATCTTGCTGCATACGAGGAGAATGATATCCTGACCCGCAATAGTCATATAAAAAATAGAAGAGACCATATTTACTATCTGCAACCAATCTTCAATAACACCTATTATCAGCCTCTTGGGTGTAAATATGACTAGTAACTAACCAGGCAAGGGTCTCTCCGCCAAGAATCTCCCAGTTCATAAAACTCCCTGTCAATAGACGATAAAGCGCACGCCAACCCCAGCCAGAACCCCAAATGACAGCCATCCAACTACCACAACCGCATGGCATCGTTCAGCAATAACAAAGAATCCAAATTTTCAGCCACTGCGGGAATAATGGCTCACGAAACCCTGTCTGCCGCTGCGGGAAGCCCCTCAGCGAGCCTACCGCCGCCCATCCATGGTTCACCTCCGAGCGCCCAAGCTCCTGGTGCCACAAACAGCGTCACCCCTCAGCAGCAGCAGCAACAACAGCTACAACAACAACGACAACAACAACAACAACAACAACCACTGCAAAACATCACCAATAGACTACCCTCATCCAGCTACAGCACCCATCTGCAACCTCAACCGCCAAAAATATACACACCTCTAAACCATCATAACAACCTTTCTCTGGCAGATGAGTTCTGGCCGTCCCCTGCCAAGCACCATCGTCTCCACCACCACCGACACCCGCTGCGCCATCGTGACCACGACCAGCAACCACTGCAGCAGCAACGTGACTGTCTAGCACAAAAAGGGGCCCGTGACAGAGCTGGAAGTCCCGAGAAACGCAAGTATCGCCATAGTAAACACCATGTGTCGCGAGATACAAGGTTGCCCAAATCTATGAGGGAACATGCAAATATGAGTTTACGACCTGGAAAATATGTGCATAGGGAAAAAGGACGGGGTGGTACGAGCGAGATTGTTGCTGCTGCTGCTGCTGCTGCTGCTGCTACTACTACACCCCAGTCTGAGACAAGTGGACAAGATGGTAGTGATACTGGTGTTGCACAAGGGCCGTTGTTAATTGGGAAGCGGAGGGAGAATGTCACAATGGCAGAAGTAAGAAGGGAGACGATGCGGAGGATGAAGGAGGAAGAGTGAGTTTAATATTCCAATTTACTATTTATTTGCTACTACATATGGAACCGGGAGATCTTCTCCCATCTCAATCTCCACCCAGAAGGGCGGCTGCATGTTAATGTATAGACATCCCATCTTCACATAACATACACGCTAATAGCCAACAGAGCAAACCGCACCTCCCTCTCCGTCCTCGCCATCCGCACCGCAGACATAAACCGCTGCCTCGACACAACCTACTACAACCTCCTTGAAAAGATCTCAA